ATTATTATTATGACATGGAAGATTCAGTAAGTTATGATCACCTTGTCTATACATTTTATTTTATTTTATTTTATTTTATTTACAAATACAATTCATTCATTCATCCATCCATCCATCCATCCATCCAATTTAATTATACCTTAACAATATCACTTTAATTATATATTTTATTTTATTTTATTTTATTTAGAATTACTATGTATTTATGTATTTATTTGTCTGTCTGTTTGTTTATTCACCACTTTGTTTATACATTGTATTTAATTTTATTTTATTTACAAATACTATTTATTTATTTGTTTATTTATGTATTTGTTTACTTACTTACTACTTACTTATGAACAAACGAAATGCATGCATGAATGAATGATGGTCTATAATCTATAAACCCACCACTAAACGGCATGTAGCGTCTGGACCAATCAAAAACACAATTTTTGATTTGATTTAACAAATCAGTTATTCATTAGATTAACAAATCGTCACAGTCCCCTCACCCAATAAACTGGGTGCCAGGATGTCTGCAACGACACCAGGCCCCCCTGGTCCCCATGGCTTCCACTTCAACCCACCATGTCGCTCTACTGCAGAATAGCTGGTGCATCTTTCAACATGTTAATATATCATGTAGCCAATAACAACAGCTGCACCGACGCAAACAAACACCTACAGCAAGCAAAACATATTTTATAGGTGGCCTTCGTGACCCCAAAAGTCACTGAGGTTTAATCATAACAAAGCATTAGGCCAAAAAAAAAAATCTAATTAAAGATCGTTAATGAGACACACATGATGAATTGACCTGCAAGAGTTGCTCGCCGCCCATATACTAAACTTGATTTTGTAATGGCCCTGTGTCCACATGAAAAGACACTCAAAAGTCAGAGCCAACATTCCAGAGCTTGTCGGTCAGTATGATGATGCTTTATGAGTTATAATGCTTATAATTATGAAAAATGTTATCAGCAACGCTGCTTATTAGTCATGTTAATAACTCTTGCATGAGAGATTTTTATTTGGAGTTAGGGGATGTCCCACTGGACACTTGATTAATTAGATCAAAATGTTTAATTGAGGTGCTACAGCGAGGCCCAGATGCTTATCACAGCATTGGAGCAGAAGAGATCAAGAATGTATTTTACTGCTTTATCTCACCCTGTTTTCCATAATAATAATCTTCGGAATTCATTAGCTCAGGAAATGAATGCAATTTTGCGGGAGGTGATAACCCAGTATACTTCCTGAGTAGCATGTGACGGCCAGCATTATGTGAATGCAGTGTTTAATTGCGATCAGGACCCCGACATGAAGCATAGACGTTTATTAATGATCGCCTGACTTTACATTATCCTGTTTATTACACGGCTACTTACCAAATAAATAAATGGACTTGAAATGTGATTTAAAATTATTTGATTACATGAGACTATCAGGGATTCCCGATTAGCCTGTTGCTGTTTATTTTTCAATAGTGACCCGCTGAGGTACTGACTCCATATGTATCAGGATTTTACATCTCTAATAAATTAATAAATATGGACATTAAATTCTGATTCATGCAAATATAAAGGCAATGTTATATTTTAGGTATAACAACCCATTTAGTGTGTAAATAAATGAATGAATGAATGAATGAATGAATTTTGTCTCTTAATTTCACATAATTTAATGTTCTGACACTTGAAACGATTGTTTTCATAGAAATAAATCATAATATGCGTTTGCATTACCATTCCACTTCAACCCACCATGTCGCTCTACTGCAGAATAGCTGGTGCATTATTCATTAGCTTTTATATTGTCATTGCACTGAAACCAAAGTTCTTAAAATATTATCTGAGAAGGATTTTTAATTTTATATTATGTTGACAGTGTAACAGGGTAACCATTTTTAGGTTACTCTTTTTTTTTCCCAGTGATAAATATTTTTCCAATACCGATTTACAGAGTATATTTCAATATTACAAACCTCATTGAACAAGCTAAATGTAACAGCCCAGCAGGCACACAACGTCATTAGACGTTGATATTTGGTTGAATTTCGGTTGCGACGTCGGGTGACCAAAATTCTATGTAAATTCAACGTCTAATGTCATTGTTAAATTGATGTCCAATACCGACGTCAGCTGACATTGATATTTTGTTGTTTTTAGGTTGTGTAACCAAAATCCAATGTTAAGTCAACGTCAAATTGACGTCAACCCTATTTTCATTTTCAACCAAAATGCAACGTCTGTTTGACGTCATGTCCAACGTCAACCTGACGTTACATAGACGTCTGGTGCCTGCTGGGAGTGATGAGAGACTCAAGAACAGAAAAGCAAAAACGATTTTTGAAAATTATTCTGCTGCAATATTTGAACTTTTTTTTCCACAAAAAGCTGTATGCAGTATTTGTTTTTGATATTTGAAAATGCTATGAAAATGGCAATTATAAATGCCTTTCTTTCCCTTGCTTTCACTTCAGTTATAACAGCTTATACGTCTGCTATCAACTCAAATAGATCTTTCCATTTGCTTTCACAGTTTGTCAGCAAGAGGGGTTGCTTTATAATTGATTTTATTACATTTTGGTCATGTAAATTCCTTGTACATATGAAGAAAATTTGTGGGTAAAGAAAAACACCTTTAAAATAATACAGTCCATTCATTCAACATTGAATAAACTTTAGTGTCTCAACAAAAGGACATGCAGTTTCCGTGTTTGACAGCATTTTCTCATTATCTCCTTCTGGATGTGTTCTTATAATTATACTACGCTTAATGTTGTTGATTAGAAATACTGATACCACAGTGCACCCCTTGCTGCATACTGTTTGTCTTTGCAAGCATTATTAATTTTCTTGCAATTCATTATCACTTAACTTAGGTTTACACATTTTGAATGTGCTTTGGCAGCTTAAAAAAATAATAATACATAAATAAATAAATATATAATAAAGTGAACTGCAACATGCGCTTCTTCTGTTAATGAGTTGTGAGAAATATTAGCTGGAAAGCATGCACAAACACTTTTTTAAAGTAAATTTGTGGTAGTAAAGAACATGGCTAAAACATTGTCTTTTGTTGTCTTGTTATACAATAGAAGCGCTTGTAATGTGTTTTTGCTGAATATTAATAATATTTGACTGTGAACTTGCATCTCAAAGAAAGTTCTATCATGTTTGAGTCTAACATACATTTAGTGTGTTTTACTCTACTCTACTTCAGAATTTACTAAGCTAGAAAATGTTATTTTCTATGCAACATTGACTATAATAGTGCACCAGGATACAGAGACTGTACTGTAGTATATCAGTGAAGGGCTGCTGTAAAACGGCAATGAAGGCACCAAAATTATATTCAAAATGCCATGAGCATGTATGCCTTTATCACCATACATCTAATGACAACACTGTCCAATGGAATTAATATGTAGATATGACTGTATGCCTTCTGCCCATGCAGAGGAGGTAATTTAGCCTAAAATAGTGCTGAATTTGAAATTATGCAAATGACGTGTGCAACTCATTATTCCTTGCAGTTCAAGACTAGTTTATTAGATAAAAAGCACATATCTAACAGAACAAAGTTTGTTACAGTAAGTCAGCTGTGTTTGTGCAAGCATGTGTTTTTCAGTTTTCGTAAGTAAGTTAAGGTTGACTGCTGAAAGCACTGAAATCATTTTCCAAATGCAACCCTAATGATAAGATATTATGCATTTGTGCACATTAATATGCATTATTCTAGATCTACAAAACAACATTAGCAATGATGAAAACAAGAGCTTTTGATGACAAGTTCAATTCTCCTCTCACTTTTTTCGCATTTACACATAGGCGTAGGTTTGATTTTATTGCATATGAGGACAACTTTTTTTTTTTTTTTTTTTACAAACCAACGATTAAAGCGATGAATCACAGGTCCTTGTTCACCATTTATTTATTTCTGATAATTTAAAATGTTAGTGTTAAGAAAATGCTATTACACCATTAATATAGGGAAAATATAACACAGTTTTCCCTGTAGGCCTGACTATACTCTACAGATATGGTCTACTCCTGTAAAAAAAAAAAAGTCATTAGTCTTCTTCCATTCAGTCATTTGTTAAGTGCTTTGAATTTGATCATTGTTCTTGTTCTTATTTTTCTTCTTCTTCTTCTTCAAAAATAAATAAATAAATATCTGCATCAGTGGTGGACAGTAAAACATTTTTTTTTTTTACTTGAATCAGTAACATATTTTTACATGAATCAGAGACTTTGATAAAGATCAGATGGGTTCACTTACTTTTTATTGCCACTCTACATTAAATGTATAACACTGTCGGGCTATTCTTTTAAGTGTTATTTATAGCACAACTCACGTTCAGTAATTTTTCTCATTAAAATGTCACATTGCGGAAGCAAAATAGGTTTCAAATAGCAATTCACATTGACGTTAATGATCTGTCAAATCAGTCATACAAACACCAAATCGTTGCAAACTGAAATGTGGAACAATAATCTTTACTCAAGTGTATCTGAGTGCTTTATTTCTGTCAGAGAGCTGTCTGTCTTCTTTTCCCTATGATTGCTAGCTGTCTGCGTGTTTGTTTAGAGGATCACCACCCACTTAGTCATGGATCTAGACTTCTGTTGTTGAAGCGAATCAGATGTCGATGCAAATCCCGCAGTGAGATGCGAAACAACAACACAACAGGCAGGTTACAGGTCTGGGAGAAAGAAAATCACAGGAGAGGGAGGAGAGAGAGGGAGGAGACTGAAGTCATTGGTCACTAGCCACTAGCAAATTGAAATCTAAGCAATTTGCTTAATAAAATTAGCTAGGTCATTGACTTCCTTATGAGAGGTAGTTTGGTTAAAAACGCTCAAACCCACAGAGCAACCGCACATCCGTGCATTCTTCCACAGCTACCATCCGGTGGAGACAGCATCCGTACACACATAAACAAGTACCTGCTCTCTCGTTTCAACCGACAGAGCTTCCACAAGCTGAGTGGATATCTGGAAGTGTAGGGGATGTGCGATACGGCGGCAGAGGATGACCCTAAAGTGGCAGAGGGGGCTGGTTTGGTGTCAGACGGCCAGACGTCTCCCTCCGTCAGATCTCCAGAGACTGCTGAACTGACCCAAACTGGGGACGGTCTCCCAGGGGCCACCCTGACCTCCTACAGCCCACTGAGGGCACTGCATCGGCCCTGGTGCTTGGTTCTGGTGCTCATCCTGCTGGTTCTCTCTCTCCTTTTCAGCTGGGCGGTGGTACACCTCAGCTTGGGGGCCCGGAGCAAACCCTTCAGGATTTCTTCCAGCTACAACCAGCCCGGCGACATGGAGACAGCGACCTATGACCCCCGCTTCACCACCAACTGCACCATACGTGAGTGTTTCACAATCTGGAAATGTTTCAGTTTCTGGTTTGCTTATTACTATTATTATTTTTTTTTTTTTATCTATTTTTTTCATGCTAGTAGGAACAAAAGTTTTTGATGTGATTTAATATGGCTGTGAAAGTTTGGATTTGTATTTCAAAGTCCAAAATCAATCACCAAAAATATGCTTACTTTTTGATTCAAGATTTATTTTGTTGTATATGCTTTTTTTAACTAAAACTTTTCTGCAGTTTTTAATTTAGTGCTTTCTGCTGCCATTTGTTTAAAATGTTTTTGAAAGAAGTCTCATATATGCTCACCAAGGCTGCATTTATTTGATCAAAAAAGGAGAAAACCCGTAATATTGTAAAATATTACTAAAATGCATTTTAAATATAGTTTATTCATGTAATGGCAGAGCTCCATTTTCGGCAGCCATTACTTTAGGCTTCAACATCACATGAATAATTCTTAAGAAACCATTCTAATAAGCTAATTTGGTGTTCAAGAAAATTTTCTTTTTACTGTCAATGTTGAAAACAGTTATTTTTTTCATAGTTTTCATAGTGAAAACTATGATCAGCATATTACAATGATTTCTGAAGGATCTGGAGAAACTGAAGACTGGAGAAAAGATGCTGAAAATTAATCTTTGCCATCAAAGAAATTTTTTTTGTTAAATATTGTCAGTTCTTTTAAATTGCAATTATATATATATATTATAAACCATCCAAAATTTTATCCGATAATGTTGCATAGTGTATAACTAGTCCTTGTCCAAGTAATATTTGTTAAAGAGTGACAGGTTATGTGATTGTTTTGTTTTGTTTTTGTTTTTTTTAATCTTCTGCTTTAATAAGATTACTATAATCAAAAGAGAAAATGGTTTATTGTTTTTTTATTTTTAGAGGGAAGAACTCAAAATGAGACTGCAGTCTGTTTCATTTCTGTAAAGCCTCATAAAGTCATAAACTTTGAATATATAATACTGCGAATGATTTCAGGGCAGAATATTGCAATGCAAATGCATCTATGATTTTCGACTTATTGGCAAAGTACAAAAATAGTTACATTATACATTCTTTTTTTTTT